CAGTGAGCCGAGATCATGCCACTGCACTCCAGCCAGGGCAACAGAGCAAGACTCCCTCTCCAAAAAAAAAAAAAAAAGCCACTTTCATCTCAAAATGTAAAAAATCCTGGATGGCACCATAGTCTACAGATAGGGACAAATAAAGTAAGACTAAAAGAGCAAAATATACATGAAAGGTATACAACTTAGACAATTCTGGGTTTTTTATTACCTTGCGTATTTTACAAACTTATGCTTGGAAATTTTCTTCCGCTTCTAATCCCTCAAAGCACCTTTAAGAAAACAGCTCTACACTGGGCACATTGGCTCACACCTGTAATCCTAGCACTTTGGGAGACTGAGGTGGGCGGATCACGAGGTCAAGAGATAGAGATCATCCTGGCCAAAATGGTGAAACCCCGTCTCTACTAAAAATACAAAAGATAGCTGGGGGTGGTGGCATGCCTCATTATACATCCGCCTCAGCCTCCCAAAGTGCTGGGATTACAGTGAGCCACCATGCCTGGCCTGCCACATCATTTTCTAAAGTGGTTAGGTCATTTTACCTTCCAACTAGAAACGTGTTGAAGTTCCAGTTATCTCATATGTTCATTAACATGTAGTTTTGCCAATATTTACAGTCAGCCATTTTTGTGGATAGGGCATGAAGTGGTAAATTATGATGGCTTTAATTCTATATATTAAAGTATATTATTCATAAATATAATATACTCGTATTCCTCACAAATAATGAGTTTCAACAGCTTTGCAAATATTTATTGTATATTTATTTGTATATCTTCTCTGGTGAAGTGTCTAATAATTTGCTCATTGTTTTAAAGGTTATTGTCTTTATAGATGTACAGATGCATTGCATAACTTTCAGGTACAAACCTTGTGTCACATATCTGTGCTATAAGGAATATATCCCAGTTAATGACTTCTCTTTTTATTTCCTTAGCAGTAACTTTGATGAGCATGTTATAATTTTGATGGTTAATTAAATTTAACTTTTTGAAACAAAAGTTTAATTTCTGTGGTTATGGTTATTGCTTTCTGAGTCTTGCCTAAAAAGTCTTTGACTATCCAGAATTGATGAAGATGTTCTCCTATATTTTCTTCTAGAAATAACATGTAGATTTCTTTCTTTTGAGACAGAGTCTCACTCTGTAGCCCAGGCTGGAGTGCAGTGGCACGATCTCAGCTCACTGCAACCTGTTTCCCGGGTCTAAGCAATTCTCCTGTCTCAGCCTCCTAAGTAGCTGGGAATACAGGCACGTGCCACCATGCCCAGCTAATTTTTCTATTTTCAGTAGAGACAGGGTTTTGCCATGTTGCCCAGGCTGGTCTTGAACTCCTGACCTTAAGTGATCCTCCCACCTTAGCCTCTCAAAGTGCGGGGATTACACGCATAAGTTACCACGCCTGGCCTAATTTTAGTTTTTATGTTTACATCTACAATGATCTCAAATTAGCTTTTGTCTATGGGATAAGGTAGAGGTCTATATTCACAGTTTCAGTGTATTTATTCAGTTGTTCCAGCACCATTTTCTGCAAAGACTTCTATTTCTCTATCTTCTTGCCTTGGTTTTTGTTAAATTGATTGTTTATGGCTGGATCTATGTCTGGGCTTTCTATTCCGTTCCACTGATCTGTATGTTCATTCTTGTGTCAATAACACACGCTCTGAATTACTGTACTTTTATTGTAAATCTTGTAGTAGTAAAAACCCTCCAGGTTTGTTTTCCTTTCTCTAGAATTCTTTGTCTATGCTAGGTCCTTCACATTCTTATGTAAATATTATCATCAGCTGGTCATTTCATAAAAATAAATTTTGGAATTTTTATTGGTGTTGCAGAGAATATATACACCAATTTGAAGAACACTGGAATCCAAAGAGCATTGATCTTTTTTATTCACAAACATGGTATATACCAACCTTTATTTGCTTCTCAGTTTAATTCTCTCAAAAATATTTTATAAATTTAAGTGAAGAGTTTTAGGATGTCTTCTGTTACATTTATAAGTGTTTTTACAAAAAAAAACAAAAGTTTAAGGAACCGTTTAGATTTTTTCAAGAATAATTTATAGATGACGTTATATTTTTTCTACCCAAACATTATTTCTAGCTGTCTTTCTTTTTGTGATATTAGCAGCTGTTTTGAATTCTTTTGTCAACTTGGCAGCAACCACTACACTTTTCTAAAACTAGGAACTCTATATTCTAGAACCCTCTTCCCTAAATGATTCCTCAAAAAATTTGCAAATGAAGAAAATTCACACACAGTTCCAAAGATAAGAGTGAAGCCGAAGTCACTGTCAGCAATTTTTGGCAGCCAGGCACTGAGACTTTCAGAACCTTTAACACGGTTCTTCTCAGCAATTCTAGCATCCAGATGTAGCCCCATGATAGACCTCGCACGAGCGTGTACTTCATAATCCTGCTGAATACAGAAGTTGCCTCGACTCTTTGATGAGCTGCTGCTTTCCCGCCTATATCAATGTTGTCAGCTGATGCCATTTGTGATTGCGTTTCTGACTTTCTGAAGGAAACCTGCCAAACATTCATTTTTTTTTTTTTTTTTTTTGCTTACATGCACATGAATGTAGGCACTAATTCTTACATTAAACTGTTTATTTCTATAATACTTAATTGACTGTTCTCCTGGCTGAACCAAAGCAAGAGCAGCAGGGATGATAACTTGCAAAACTGATTAAATTAGAGGTCAAGAAATGGAGCCATTTTAATTCTATTATTCTTCTTTCATATATTAAATATAAAACTTTTGTAGATAGTTTTTCTTCGTTATCTCTTTGGTTACCCTTACGTACTGCTTGTAGAGCAAAGGTAGAATATGTGATTTTTTTCTTTTATTTACCATTTTCTATTTATCAGTTACTATTTTATTTACCAGTTTTCTAAGTAGTAATCTGGTTTCCTAAAATCCTAGAAGGCACTTGAAGAAATTAAAATTGATTGACTTTTTAAAAATTAATTTGGGGAATTATTCTCCTGCCTCTTCTCAGTCTAATGAAATTTTTTCTGTAAGATATTGTATTTTAAGTACTAGAATTTTTATTTTTAAGTGTTATCTCTGCTGAGATTTCACATGTGTTTACTCAATATGATTATTATTTCAGTCCTTAAGCATATTTATAATATAGTAGTATCCCCTTATTTGTGGCTTCACTTTCCTCACTTTCAGTCACCCATAGTCAAAAAATATTACATATAAAACTCCAGAAATAAACAGTTTATAAGTTCTAAGTCATGCGTTGTTCTGAGGATTGTGATGCAACCTCCCGCCATTTTGCTGTATTGGGTTCAGGATGTGAATATCCCTTTGCTCAGCAGATCCACACTTGCTGCCTCCTGCTCATTAGTCACTTGCAGCCATCTAAGTTATCAGATGGATTGTCTCGGTATTGCGGTGTTTGTGTTCAAGTAATGGCCCCAATATGCAAGAATAGTGATGCTCGCAATTCAGATATGCAAAAGAGAAACATGAAAATGCTTTCAGTAACTGAAAAGCCTAAAGTTTTCCACTTAATGAGGCAAAAAATGTGCTGAGGTTGCTTACATCTAGGGTAAGAATTAATCTTTTATTTGTAAAATTGTGGAAAAGGAAAAATAAATTCTTGCTAGTTTTGCTTTTGTACCTCAAACTGCAAAAGTTACAGCCACAGTGTGTGATAAATGCTAATTTCAATCAATATTCTGAGCCTAAATGTGTAGGTGAGTGCTGTCTCCATATTTGCACATGTGAAGTGCTCCTGAACCATAGCCCCATGTATCTCAAACACCATCACACTCACAGAACAGAAAGGAAAGAGCAGTTTCATCAGCCGGCCCTCATAAGCCACTCCCTGGAGTCCTCCCCAACATCTGCTAAATTTGGGAGGCCTGATTCCAGAGGGCTGGATGATGAACTGGCAACATAAACCCAGAAGAATCTTAATTGCAGACAAAGACAAACTCGGGTTCCAGCGCAGACAGACAGCCCATACCAGCGCTTTTGATGTTAGTTGCGGTAAAGGGGGCAGGAAAGGCTCCCACTCTATGGTCTGTGGCATGGTCAGCTCAGTGCCGCCACCTCGGCGGGCTCCATCCCACATGACCCTCCCAATCAGGCTGATGGTGCCTCCTTATGCCAAGTGGAAGGAACTGCAGTCAAATTCTGACAAGTCCTGCAAATCCTCCCAGGCCCTGGGCTACTGGTTAGGCCACCAGTAGGGCTGTGGACCAACCGATTAAACCCATTAATAAATGGCAGCACAGCACGGCCTCCTTCTCAACAAATTATGATGCTGATCCCCGGATTCAGCCATCCATGCCCATGGTGTTTTGTCCTTAAGCTTTCTAAACGCCTACCCTGCTTTATGCTTTCTAGTTTTGAGGACTTGGCTTAAGCGTGCTTCTGAATTTCAGCTCCCTCTATTTGACAATTCTTTACACTGTTCTCCAGTTGGGACGCGGCGGGAGACACCATGGAGCCAACCTCTGCAGAAGGCAGGGCTTGGTAGAATGGATAGACCCCAGCCAGGGGAAGGGTGCACTTCGGGCACCGAACTTCAGGGAAAGCGCTCTGGGTCAGGCGTCTCCTCCAGAATGCTCTGTTTAAAGTTAAAAAGGCCACTTTCAAAATAGTTGTAAAATCTATACATTCACCCAGACATACACATTTTTTGGGACATGGTCTTGCTCTGTCGCCCAGGCTGGAGTGCAGTGGTTCGGTCACAAGCAGTCGTCCTGCCTCAGCCTCCCGGAAGAGCTGGGACCACAGGCCTGCACCACCATGCCTGGCTAATTTGGTTCTTTTCTGTTTGTTTTCCTTCGTTTGTTTTGTAGGCATGGAGTCTGACTGTGTTGCCCAGGCTGGTCTCCAACCTCTGGCCTCAAGCAATCCTCCCTCCTCACCAAGTACTGGGATCCAGTCGTGAGCCTCCAAGCCCTTCTCTATTAATTATTCTTAATTAAAACATTCAAAGGACGCGGTGTTTGAGGCCAGCGCGGCGTTTGCAGTGGCTGCTCCCGCCAGGACAGCTCAGGGGGATGCTCCCGAGAATCCTGAGCCCGCCTCCTGTCCCGGCCTGGTCTGGGGTCCCCAGACCCAGCCTCTGACGGGCCACCCCCAGCGCTGCCCTGCCCGCAGCTCCGGGCTACGCTCCCCACGAAGAGGCGCCGCAACCGCCTAGGACATCGTGGGAAGCCTCCTGCGGGGACTTTCCACTGCTTGTCCCAGGAGCTTCTACAACAGACTGGCATTGAGAGTTCAGTTACATTTTCCGCTAGTTATTCCCATCCTGGCCCCCAAGCGTCTCAAGTCCCCGCCTTAGGCTCCTGGGGGGCCTCCCCTGCAAAGGCACCAGGTCCCCGACATCTGCCAGTGAATCGGCGTCCAAGGAGGACGGCGTGGCGGGGGCGGAAGCGACAACCACACGACCCATGACAGTGGCCAAGCCTTAGAGGCCCCGAGTGCCTCTCAGGCGCCCGGGCCCAAGCTGTCCACGCTTCCCCGCCCCGGCAGGAACCAGCTGTTCCCGCTGCACCAGCCAGGGGGCTGGGGTCATCCCTGCCAGGCCCGACCGTAGGCGTGGGCTCCAGAGCCCCCTCCCAACCGCCCCGTCCCAGGAGCGCGGGAAGCCTGGCTGTCGCCTGACAATAAGAAAATCATCATGGACAGAAGGAAAGCCGGGCGAGGCTGGGAAGGGAGCGGCTGTAATTCGGCGCCGGCCCCCTTCAATTCTCCAGCTCAGCGGCCCCAAAAGTGGGGTGGGGACGGTGATTGAGGCTCAGCTCGCTTCTTCCTTCTTACAGGTCTCGCGCCTCTGAAGCGAACTGGGCCTGGAAGGATGCTGAGGGTCGAGGGAATGGGGCTGAGGGTTGACCCAGGGAAAGGTGGGGCCGGCCCCTGGGCTCCGGTTGGAGGCGGATTCCCAGGCCGTGCAACTGCTCGCCCGTGCCCCACCCGCTCTGTGCTCTGTCAACCGAACAGCTCCGCCCTAGACTCGCGGCTGCGGAAGCGGCGGGCCGGGTGGTGATTACAACCTGGGGGAGGGGGGCTCTCCTTTTGCAACCTGACCCCCAACTCCGCTCAATAACCGAATTTCCGGAAGCCGCGACCTGGAAGCTCTCGGCGCTTCTCCATCGCTGGCACGGCAGGGACGCCCGGAATCTCGGAGCCGCAGCTCCCGCCTGCAGCGCGCCTCAGCCGCCAGTGGGGAGCGCAGCGAAGCGGGGGTCCCCCGCGCATCCGGAGCGAGGCAGGCGGGCCGGAGGCTGAGGACCGGCGACCTCGTGGGACGCCGGTGCCCGCCCCTACGGGGAGCAGAGGCAGCTCTGGAAGTCGGTTTAAGGCGGAGACCGCAACCGGAGGGGCGCAGAATACTCCCCCTCCCAGCGTTCCGGGCTACGCGGGTACAATTTTAAAACTAGCGGCGAAATCCGAGTCCTGCGGCCGCGTGGTGGGTGGAACGTGGCTGCCTAGCCGAGTGCGGTCTCAGGCTGCCCCCGCTTCTGCGCCGCAAGGCCGCCCTTGAGTTCCAGGACTCTGTGGGCCCCGAGCCGCTGGCGCTCCCGGGAGTCTCCTAGCCGCGGCGGGAACGGAGCTGGGCGCCCAGACTGCGCCGGGGTCTTTTCTCTGCCCCCAGTGGCCGGAGCCGCAGACCTGCCCCTTCCCCACCGGGGCCGCGCCCTCATTCCTCGCGGCGGTACCGCGCCGCAGCCCGGGAAACTCGCAGGCCCCAGGCGGCCCGGCTGCAGCTGCGGTGGTGAAGCTGGGCCCTGCGTGCACGTGAGGTGCCCAGCAGAATCCCCGACCGCCCCGCGCCCGCGTTCTCGCCCACGACAGTGGCCGACGGCGGCGGCTGGTTCCCGGACCCGGGAGTCGGCCCTGGGACCTGCTGCTTCTCTTGGCTCCAGGCCCTCAGCCGTCTCCCTAGCCACAGCCTGCGGGGCCTAGAACTGCAGCCCCGGGCGTCCCCTCCTAAGCAGTGGCCAGGGTTGGCGGGGCGTGTGCGACCCTGGACCCAGAGATCCGCAGCAGCCGCTGCCAAGCATGGCGAGGAGCAGCGCAAGCCTCTCCCCACCGGGGCGGGGGACGGCGGACGTGGGTTAGGAACCGGCCCGGGACGTCCAGGCAGGATCGGCCACCATTCAGGGGCTGTCCCAGGCGCAGCACCAGATGCTGCCGGTGGAAGCGGCCAGGGGCAGGCTCAGCCCGGCGCAGTGAGCATAGACAGGGACCCAAAGTTTATGCCAAAAACGTGTCTTCTCCAACCTCCTCCTCAAGCCCCTGTCTCATGCTGGTTCCTATTTCTTTCTTATAATAAATAGGTCCTGTGTGCCTGGGAGCAGAGACTCGGCCCGTTCTCCCCAGACTCAGCTGTAGTCTTCAGGGACCTGGGCAAGGTCTGATTAAACCTGCCCATCTTTTGTGGAGGAAGGCCGGTTGCTCCCCTGGCCTTCACTGTGACACTAGGAGGCAAAGGCAGCCAGACCAATTGCTGGTTTCATCTGGGACTCCGCAGGTGATAAGATTGGCAATGACAGGTGGGTTGGTAGCCGGGCTGGAGTGGCATGGCCAGCTGCTGTGGGCACCGTCTTCCCTGCCTGTCACCGCTCCTAGCTGCCCAAGTAGCAAAGCAAAGTCACAGTGACAAGATCCAGAGAGAGGAAGCTCCAGCTGGAGGTGGCGCTGGTGTCAGAGGCCTTCAGAGCAGCAATGTGACAGCTTCTCATGAGGGTGGGCTCTGTCCCCAGTCCATGCCCTCCTCTAGCTTGATCCTTGTTGGCGTTTATTTCTTTGCCTTGCCATTATCTCAGCTTCGCTTCCTTCCAGGATTTCAGCTCTTAAGTGGCTCTTGGTCCACACCTGTCTCCATCTCTCCCTTCTCTTCCCCCCTCCCTAAACTCAGGACATAGTCACTCCTGCTCCTTACACACATACTCTCTTACACACACACACACACACACACACACACTCTAACATACACGCACTCTGACACTCTCCCTCCCCACCCCGCCCCGCCCACAAACACACTCCCACTCTGCCTTCGACAGGAAACAAGTTTCTCTCCCAGAACCTTTATTAAGACCTGTGGAATGACCAGGATCTGGGCCCCCAATGGGTCTGTGAGTGTGAGCCTCTGTGTGTGCAAAGATGTGAGCCTGTGTGCATCCACGTGGCTGTGGAATTTCAAAAGCGTGTGTACACATGTGAGTGTGATGGTGAAGTGTTGAGAGTTGAGAGAGTGTGTGTTTGGGGTCAGTGTGACCTTGATCATGTGGACATACAGGTGAGCTGTGGCAAGGGTGGAGCAATGTGAGTGACTCTGAGTGTGGAAACTGAGCCGGGGACAGATGGACAAATGCATCCTTTGAGTTCTGGGAGGCTGCCACCCCATACCTTGTTGAACTACTCCCTCTTTGTCATCCTGTGCACCCTCAAATCAGGATGGTAGCGGGAAAGGGGAATGAAGCTGCTGACCTCTGGGAAGGGGCCTGCCCACTCACTGGGCCTGTCAGCTCCTAATCTGTTACATGTTACTGTAAATACTTACAAATCCCAGCTGCTGAGGAGCAAGACATCCTCCACCAGCCAGCTGGGGCCCCTGGCCTGGAAGTTGGTGGGGAGGGAGCTAGAGAGCAAGACACATGGGGGAGGGAAGCAGGGGACCCCATCGGAGAGGCTGGCATCAGGGACTCCTGAGTTCAGCTCGTAGTTTTGCCAAAGGTTAGCCTGGGTGCCCCAGTATTTCTTCAGGAACTGCAGAGCCAGAAATACCGTCCACGCCTCTGCCTCAGGAAGCTCCCCTACCTCTGCCTGATGAAGAGAGAGACTCCCCCTCAACAGCCAGCTTCCTGTCTTCTAGTCACATCTTTCAAGTAAACGGGTAAAGAGAGGTCTTCTTGCCTTTTTTTGTAGAGGGGCCGTCTCACTATGTTGCCCAGACTGGTCTCTAATTCCTGGCTTCACGTGCTCCTCCTGTCTCGAGCTCCCAAAGCATAGCAATTACAGGTGTGAGCCAAGACACCCAGCAGCTTCTTACTCTTTAAATGACACACAAAATTCTCCTGGAGTTTCTGGAGGGGATTGTCTCTTTGAACTCAGAATCTTTCCCAGGACACCTTGATCAATCCATCAGGCTCTTACTAGATTGGAGGCTGAAGACACTGCAGCTCGGTGAACCCCTTTGCAAGGGTCTGCTCCGCAGCTCTTGAGGGGAGCGAAAGCATTTTCATCTGGCCTCACCCCATCTGCAGCCAGCTCTTTCACTTCTGGAGCTGGGCTGATTGTGATAACCTGGAGGAGGGGGAATTAGTTGGGATGACTCACTTGCTGGAGCCCATCAACACTGGCCCAGGCTTGTGGCCAGATGCCTGGTTAACCAGCCCAAGAGAGCTTCCTTTCTCAGGAAGAGAATGATTATTGATTATTGGTCCTCTTTACCCATTCATTGCCCAGGACAGTGTCAGGTGCACCACAGGCCCCTGGGCATTTGTGTGGCATCATCAGCCTTATGCCTGGATCACCAAGTCAAACTTTCCTATTAGCTCTTGGTGGCAAACTCGAATTCCTTCTGTCAGAAGGCACCACAAGGCCCAGATGTCCTGGGCCTCCCACCTTAGGCAAGCCCAACATGACACAGAAACCCCTGACACCGAGCCAAGATCTATCCCCTTGTCTGGCTTGAATTTCAGATTTATTAATGGTGAGCCCTCCTGGCCCACAGTGGGACTCCCCTTGGCCTTACACAGGTAATGCCTATATCCTGGCCTAGGCTTTTGCAAGAATCCAGACTCTGGGAAGGACGTGGAGTGGAGGAAAAACCAGGCAGAGGGAACCCCATGATATTGAGGGGCTCTGGGTGCTGTATGGGACACCCCGCTGGAAACTTGCCCCTAATGGGGCCTCAAAGCCAGGCAAGCAGGGGCTCCTTCTCTACCAGAGTTTAGAAGCCAGGACCGCAGCTTCCCATCTTATTCTCAGGATGCAGGTTAGTTGTTTTCCCTCAGATGAGGGAGTCTAATGTTCCAGTTTTATAAGATGAAAAGAAGGGCTGAGGTGAGGCCCCTTCTGCCACTTTGCTGAGTCCAGAGCTGTGATGAAGTGAAGAGGGAGAAAGCACAGGGCAGGACAAAGAATGGGGCCCAGGGGCCTGGAAGTTTTCCTTGGCAGAAGTCAACTTGCCCCATCCCTGAGAAAACTCTAACCTTCTCAGCTGCAGGGAGGAAGGCTGGGACTGGGGAGGAGAGGACAGGGAGGGGCAACAGTCTGGTGCTCTGTGCTCTAAGAGAGAAGTCTGATGATGGCAAGTGACCCAGGAAGGGTTAAGAATATTCCTAAAGTAGACAAGCCACAGCCTAAGCCAGTCCATGAATACCTCCTCTGAAGAGCAGATCTGTAGCCTGATCTTTGCCTCACTGCCTGCTGTCTGGCCTGGCTGTTAATTAAGCCTCCCACCCTGTCCCTTCACCAACTCCTGTCATAGTGGGGATGGGGTAGGAGTAGTCAGAGGGGCCAAGTCTCCCCAGTCAACAGGGAACTCCAGCTGGGCCCAGGAGCACTGGGGCTCAGTGTCCACCCCCCATCTACACTTCTGGTCTGAGTCAGGTAGGGGGACACAGGGGGACAGAGAGGCAAAGTGCAGGCCTTGTGCATGGGATGGAGGCTGCCAGAATAGAGAGCAGCCAAATTCTCCCACCCGCACACGTGCATCACCAGCCATGCTCAGGTGAGACTTCCAAGATCATCATCAAACACCACCTTCTCCTAGCTGTGTGTTCCCCTTCACTTAGGGTACCTTGGAGTGGGATGGACAGGGAGGAGTAGGGAGGGCCCTTCATGAACAAACTATGTCTTTGCTTCAGGGGCAAAACTGGGTACATAATTTATGGGACCCAGTGTGAACTGAAAATGTGGAATACGTTGTCCAAAAATTGTTAAGAATTTCAAGACAGTGATAGCAGAACATTAAACCAAGTTCAGGTCCCTTCTGAGTGTGGGACCTTTGCCACTGCACAGGTGGCACCTCTGAAGCCAGCCTTGTGCAAGGGTTTGATTTAATGAACATTTACTAAGATCCCACTGCTCAGCTCTTCTGGCTCTGTGATATGATCTGGCTCTGTGTCCCCACCCAGATCTCATCTTGGTTTTAATCCACATGTGTTGGGGGAGGGACCTCCTGGGAGGTGATTAGATCATAGGAGTGGTTCCCCCATGCCGTTCTCATGATAGTGAGTGAGTTCTCACAATATCTGATGGTTTTATAAGGGGCCTTTTCCTCTTTGTTCTGCACTTATCTCTGAATTGGCTCGGGAGATAGTACCATAAAGCCCCTGCGTTTGTGTCCGGCAGATAACACGCAGAGCCCCACACCTATCACCTTGTGATGATTTTAAGCCACTGCACCTGGAACTGTTTGTTTTCCTGTAACCATTTGCCTTTTTAACTTTTTTGCCTGTTTTACTTCTGTAAGATTGCTACAGCTAGAATCCCCCTCCCCTCGCTAAAACAAAGTATAAAAGAAAATCTATCCCCTTCTTAGGGGCCGAGAGAATTTTGAGCGTTAGCCGTCTCTTGGTCGTCGGCTAATAAAGGACTCCTTAATTTGTCTCAAAGTGTGGCATTTCTCTCTAACTCGCTTGGTTACAAAACAATGTTAGGTAGGATTTAAAATATTTAATAGATTTTAAGGTGAGATTAAAATATTTTTATATTTTTTAGGTGAGTTTCAGCTTCTCAGACATGCCATTGCCAATTAACCAGTCCAAAGAAAGAAATGGAAGCCCTAAAACGTGATGAGATGTTTCCGCGCACACGTGGCCAGTTGATAGCTTAACTAGGCCTTAAGAGCTAGTGTCTGCCTCCTGGTTCCCACTTTCCCATCTTGCCCAAACCAGGGCTATAGACCTTTTATACTAATATATGCCTTTTATACTCCTGGGCCCTGACCCTACAGTGGCTTTGTCTCCCCCACTAGGTGCATGCCTGCTGGGCTGGGTGGGATGGAGTTCCGAAGAGCCCGCACCTGGGGTCAAACAGGCCTGAGTTTCAATCTTGCTCTTCCTTTTACCTTTTTCCTTTTATCCTGGGCAAGTCACGGAACCTCTCTGAGCCTCAGCATCCTCATCTCCAATGTGGAGATCATGCTTAGTCCTTAGACTTCTGGTGAAGAGTAACTGAAATAGAGTGTGTAAAGCCTCAGACACATATCAGTACCCGGGCAACAGCAACAGCATCCATTTATCCTTCATTCAATAAACATTTCATGATCCTTCCAGAACCTAGGAGTCTTTTGCCCCCACCCAATCCCCATCCCCATCCCCATCCCCATCCCCGTTTTCATCCTCATTCCCATCCCATCCAATCTGTCAGTAAGTCAGCCAATCCCACCTTCTACCTCCCCAAGTCAGGCTACCATCAGCTTTCACCTGGACCATACTGGTGAGGAACCCTACAAATGTAAAGAATGTAGCAAAGCTTTTAACTAGGGCTCATTCCTTACTAAACGTCAGATAATTCATACTGGAGAGAAACCACTCAAATTTAATGAATGTGGCAAAGCCTTCAACCAGTACTCAACCCTTACACAACATTGCAGAATCCATAGCAGAGAAAAACTAAAACTATAAAGAATACGGCAAACCCTTTAAAAGGTGCTAAAACCTTACTCAACACAAAAGAATTCACAGCAGAGAAAAACCGCAAATTCAAAAAATGTGGCAAAACCCTCAACTCATGCTCACACCTCCCTCAACATTAGAAAATAAGTACTGGATAAAAATCTTATACACATAATTATTTTGAAAAGACCTTTGTACATGCTGTACACCACAGAGGACACCAGAGTAATTACACTGGAAAAAATTATAAACATAAAGCAGTTAGCAAAACCTTTAATTGATACTTTAATCTTACTCAACAGATAATTCCTATGAGTGAGAACCTCTACAAATGAAATAATTGTAGAATAGCCTTTGTTCAAAATGTATACCTTAAAAAACACCAGAGAGCTTCTACTGGAAAGAAACTTTACAGGTACAATAAATGTGGGAAATTAATTAAAAAATATCAACTCTGAAAATTTGATAAATAAAAATAAAAATTGGATTAATCACCCTAGAAACAACTAGGAAACTCACAGTGGTATACATTACTCTAAATCAGAGTGTTTATTATGAAGAATAATCCAAAGTCCAAACAATAAAATAATTTAATTGTATGTTTCAAAAACCAGAGATTGATGGAGCAATAGATATATTCAGTGTATACTTTTTTGGTAATGACAGTATTTGAAATTATTTGAGCAAATCTTATTAATATAATTAAACTCTTGAGTTATCTGATGCTTTTTCTTCATTTGTAACATTTAAGTAAAAGTGTGAAGTGGATTTGTGCCACCCGTTAGCTACTACAGGATCTTATATATTATGTGAAGATCATTCACATGGAAGATTAAGGGTACAAAAATCTAAATGAATGTGGGTGCTCTTAGATTTGACATATAACAGTGTTGTAAGTCATGCATGAGTCAGGTATTCAGGATACAATTCTTCTGCATTAAATTATGAGACAGGGGCACTCTGAGATTTAGAAATAAATAGTTTTACCAACGAGTTATTCGGGAGAAAAAGCTGAGCTTTTTGGATACACCTTTATAGTAGCAATAGTTAGAAGTCCTGAATGTTAGTTGGTGTAGTAGCAGTAAAGAAATTTTCACACGTTAGAGAAATGTTCAGATGTAACTCCTATCAGTTAGGATGTAGATTTATTGTGAACTCAATTTTCTAAATACTTAACCTCAGATTTTTTTAAAAAGGATGCCCATTTTTTACATAGAGCATGGTATCAGAAAGACAAGAATGCTTTGTGAGGGTTTGTAATCTACATTTTAGCCTTTGAGGATACAGCAGGTTTTGAAATGTCTTATTTAATTTATGTGTATACTTAATTTGTTTTAACAATTAAAACTAAACTTTTTTTAACACTGTTGTGTATTGAATGACATGTTATCCTACAAAAATATTAACCTATTAACCTTGCTTAAGATTCTAGATAGCATATGATAATTACATACTATTGGATAACCTAGCCCCATCTCTAGCAATTTTTATTCCCAGTGGTGTTAAACTCTAAATAGTTCCAAGAATATTAATTCCATATATCAAGAACATTAATTCCATAAGTTGTATTTTATTCTTTTATTGTAACTACTGGGACTTTATCATGGCCATATGAAAATTTTATAGGAGTATAATAATAAACTATAATCTTTCTATAACATTTGATCCTATAATGTCTTTTCTACATGCCACCCCTCTGGGCCTATAAAATATACACAGAGGGCCAGGCGTGGTGGCTCATGCCTGTAATCCCTGCACTTTGGGAGGCTGAGGCAGTCAGATCACCTGAGGTCAGGAGTTCGAGACCAGCCTGACCAACACGGGGAAACCCGTCTCTACTAAAAATACAAAAATTAGCCAGACGTGGTGACACATGCTTGTAATTTCAGCTACTTGGGAGGCTGAGGCAGGAGAATCACTTGAACCTGGGAGGTGGATGTTGTGATAAGCCAAGATCCTGCTGTTGCACTCCAGCCTGGGCAACAAGAGTGAAACTACACCTCAAAAATAAATAAGTAATACACACACACACACACATACACACACACACACACACACGCACAGAGAGTTTTGGATTTTATTTATAACAAATATACAAATATGCAAATCTAAAGTTTAGGAATATGAGCACTATGGAACAATTAATGTTGTGCGTGTGTGTTTGTGTGTGTTGTGTGTGTGCAAGCAAAGAGAGAGAGTTCCTATCTTGAGAATGAAGAAGAAGAAACAGAAAAATTAGAACAAAACAGATTATTTT